CTATGGGCCTGATGCATTGGGGACCCTCGGGGCCTAGGGGAGGGGAGAGCATTGTTGTTGCTGCTCACTTTCTGCCCCCAGGCTGAGTGACAGTGGGTTAAAGCAACTGCTCAGGCAGACACTGAGCGAGGAAAGTAGCGGTTGGTAGCCTATCCCCCTCGGATTTGAGAACTCGGGTCTTGCCCAGGATTCGCCTTCAGGTCCAGGAGTCGCATGCAGGATCTGGATGCGGTGTGCTGAGACGGACCAGGACAGGTGGTGGAACGTGGTCCCGGTCAGGTGACTCCCGAGATTGGAGTTGAAGGGCAGGAGGCGGGGCGGTCGCCATCGGAGTTTATGCACTGCCTTCCTCGGGGCGGTGCCCAGAGGGTGGGTCCCGTGAGTGCAGGCTTTGCTCCCAGGGTGCTCTTGGGTTCAGCCATTCTGGAAACGTGTACAGACGGGCTCTCCCGATCTTCACCGGGTGCAGTCAACACAGGGAAAATACTCTGCCCTCATGGAGCCTGAAACCTCCAGTGTCCTTGTATTTTATTATCTATTTTTGAAAAAACTTCATTTATTTGGTACTGGGGATCAAACTGAGGACCTTGCATTTGGCAGTTTATTATTTATTTTTGGACACAGGGTCTCCCTATGTAGTCCAGGCCTTGAACTCATTTTGTAGCCCAGGCTGGCCTTGAATTCATGATCCGCCTGCCTCAGTTTCCCAAGTGCTGGAATTATAGGTGTGTGCTACATTTCCCGCTATTTATTTATTCAAGATGTGTATTTTGCCAGGCCTAGTGGCACAGGCCTGTAATCCCAGCCCTCAGGAGGCTGAGGCAGAAGGATCGTTGCCAGTCTGAGGCCAGCCTAGGCTACATAGTGAGTTCAAGGCCAGCCTGAACTACGTATGGAGAGTCTGTCTCAAAAACAAAAAACAACCTCTTGCAAATCTGTTGGCTTGAAATAGTTGTTGCATCCTCTTTCCATAGAAGCTCCCACTTTCTGAGTACAGGGGCTCAGCTATTTATAAACCTGCTGTCACTCAAAAGATGAGCTTTCAACCCCCCACACGCATGAAGAGAGATGGATATAAAATTAGAAACTTCACATAAGGTATTCAGGACTTAGGAAGAATTATTGTCAGTCAGCAATCACTTATGAAGTGTAAGTTCATTAGGTGAAAAATGTCTCTGAGACTGTTCTGCATTTGGAAAATCATATGGTCCTTTGGGATTTCTGGTTTTTTTGGTAATGGGGCTCGAACTCAGGACCTTATGCTTTCAAGGCAGGTGTCGGAACCACTGAGCTAAATCCTCAGCCTGGGATTTTTGTTTTTGAGACAGGGTCTGGCTTTATAGTTCAGACTGGCCTTAAACTCACTAAACAGCCCAGACTGACCTTAAACTCCAGGGATCCTCCTGCCTCAGCCTCCCCAGGTGCTGGGATTACAGGTATGTGGCACCATGCCCTGCTCCTTTGGGATTTTTAAAACCCTGAAGTTTTCCAGCCCATCCAGGGATGCCCTTTCCAGCTTGGGCCGGGGATTTAGCTCAGTGGTTCCACTGCCTGCCTCGAAAGCGCAAGGACCTGAGTTCGATCTCAGGTACCAAAAAATCCCACAACAAACCCCTAAAGTAATCTGGTTATCTTTGTATACCTTAGCAGTTCCCAATGCTATTTCATCAAAGAATTTTCTTTGCAGCCAGCTCTAGTACCATTTCATGAAATAATGCGTCTTGGATCACATTTTGGAAAAGCAAGGAGGGGCTTACACAGCCTGTGTGGCGCCAGGACCATGGCTTTGACTCTGGCTTGTCTATTAGTTATATGTTGTGTGAGCTGGAAGATACCATAGCTTTTTCTTTCCTCTTGGGATTGAACCCAGGGCTTCCCACTGAGCTACCTCTCCAGCCCTTTAAAATTTTAAAAAAAATTTTGGGACAGGGTCTCAATACATTAAGCTGGCCTTGAACTTATGATCCTCCTGCTTCGGCCTCCCAGAGTGCCACGATACCAGGCTAAATCATAACCTCCTAATATTTCATCTTCATATTGGGAGAAACCAGACAATAATAAATATCTTGATCTAGGTTGTTTTATTGATTAAATGAAATTATTATGACTGTTTTAAATATCACAAAAAGATGTGCAAATGAAAGATATTATTAGTTATCACAAATAAGTACAAAGTTATAGTAGGAAGTTAATAACCTACATCCATAAACTTGCCCAAGCACTTCTAACTCAACAACTGTGGATTAAGTCTACTTAGCACCCAGCACTTGGTGAAGGAAGCACAGTAGAAAGGTCCAAGTAGAATCAGCATGTTAGACCCAGAAATGTCTTTGACAATAACTGAATTTAACCCTCTTATTTTACAGATGATGGACCCGAGGTCCCGATGGGTTCAGTGAACAGTTCAAGGTCACTCAGAGATGATAGAGGAAACATCTGTCTCCTATCCAGCGATTAGCCTCATTGCCAAGAGCTGCCTCAGTAGGAGAAAAATAGTGGCCCCATGAAAATTTCAATTTAATTAAGAGGGACAAAATACAGAGATGATAGAATCAGAAAATACAGAATAAAAAATTAAAGTTCAAATGATGTGGAAATGAGAATTCAGAAATGAGTAGTTGGTGGTAGGAGTGGAGTTGGGGCTTTGAACTATGTACAGGGTTAAAGTGGATTTGGGTGACAGAAAAGGAAAAGGATCTGTGTTCTAAAATGGTTCCAGGTCCAGCCTGGATTACACAGTGAGATCCTGCGCTAAAAACAAACGTGGACCATGGTGGTGCACACCTGTGATCCCAGGACTTGGGAGGCCGAGACAGGAGGATTGCTATGAGTTCCAGGCCACCCCGGGCTATACACAGTGAGTTGAAGGTCAGCCTGAACTATGAAGCAGGACCTTGTCTCAAAAACAGACAGAAAATCCCAACGGAATTGGAGATTATAGCAATAGACAAAATGTCTGGCAATAGTCTAAGTAGTTGGGCATTAGAATCTGGGTGAAATATTCAACATTAAACATGTATGGCGGGCTTGGGATTTAGCTCGGTGGTTCCGCTGCCTGCCTCACAAGCGCAAGGACCCGAGTTTGATCCCCGGTACCCCCCCAATAAATAAATAAACATGTATGGAAATCTTTCAAATTTTATCAAGGTTCTGGAGCTTCAGGAAAGACACCATCCCTAACTTTAGGAACTTTAATTTTTTTTTCGGAGGGTGGGGGGAGCAGGATCTTGCTTTGTAGTAGACTGGCCTTAAAACTCATTATGCAGCTCAGGCTAGTCTTGAACTTATTACACTAAACTTTTTTTTTCAGTTTTTGAGACCTATGTAGCCCAGGCTGGCCTCAAACTTGGGGTGATCCTCCCGTCTCAGCCTCCTGCATGCTAGGATTGCAGGCGTGCCACCACGCCTGGTTTGAACTCATTATGTAGCCCGGTGGTGATTCTCCTGTCCAGCCTCCAAAGGGCTGGGATTACAGGTGTGCCCCTTCAAGCCCGGCAGGAAGTTTAATTTTAGAAAGAAGAGCTGGGAACACCAAACCAAAGTGGAGAATATAAGCCCATGAGAACGCAAGAGAACAGGTGAGATGTTTGCACTTCAAACTAAGCCTTCTTCAAAACACTAACTCCTCATCACCTGTCTTCCCTTCAGTGAACCTTTTCCATGTTGTTAATATAGCACTTTTTTTTTTTTTTTTGGTACAGGGGATCGAACTCGGGACCTTGCACTTTTGAGGCAGGCAGCGGAACCACTGAGCTAAATCCCCGGCCCTTAATATAGCACTTTTTGCAGTCAATACCACAATGGGCTGTTGTCTGCCTCTTCTACAGAGCTGTGTGGTTCTTTACAAGGGATTTTTGGGCTGTGTCCTCATAGTCCCATAGAATCAATGTTCCTAGGGAAGTGCTCCCACTTTTTTTGTTGTTTTCTTCTGTGGGTTTTTGAGACACTGTAGTTCAGGCTGTCCTTGAACCCCAGGCGTTCCTCCTGCCTCTGCCTCCTGAGTGCTGGGATTACCAGATGCTGCACCACGCCTGGCTGGTTGAGACTCGGTCTCACTATGTAGCCCAGACTTGCCTCCAACTCAGTGATGTTCCTACTTCAGCCTCCCAAGTGCTGGGTTCAATGGTGTGCACCACTGAGCCTGGCCTCCTCTACTTGAAGAGGTCAAGACTCAACCTTTGAGGAGTTAAAATCATTAGGAGAAAGAGCTAATTAGGTTAAAAAAAAAAAAAAAAGGAAAAGCAAGGAATGGTAATAGGTGGCCTGGCCAGGATGGCAGGGAAAGAAAGTCCATCAATCAGGAAACCGTTATTTCCACAACATGAGAGACTTCCAACTACTCGGGCAGCCGATCTATTTTCCTTTTCAGGGAAACCAACACTAATATTATCCAAATCCTTTGGAAATGAGCAAATTCCTTATTTTCTCCCACCCTCAGGTCTCAACTAACAAAATGGTTTTCCACACGTGGTAGTGGTGACCTGGAGCCCGTCCAAGGCTGGGGACCTCCCAGGCCCAGAAGAAAGTCACCTTTGTTGCTTGCTATCTGCCCATAGCCTGGGGACCAAGATCTGCTATGGAATTTACAGAAAGCTGTTTAAAAGCATAACAGTGCGGAGCAGCAGACATCCCCAGTATTCAGGTCCTAAGGATAGGAAAGGCTTTGGGAAACACCTCGTGGCAAACTAACTGTAAAGGCACTTGGGTGGTCAGAACTGAACTGTAAAATGGAATTTTGTGCTATTGGACCCTTCCCAGTAACCCAAAATAGCGAGCAGGTTTTTGCAATATCTAGGATACAAGAGGTTATTTATCTTTCTGATTGTGACATGAACATAGGACAAAATCATTTCATTTTAGAAAACGTTCTTGCTGGGGATTTAGCTCAGTGGTTCCACCACCTGCCTCAAAAGCGCAAGGTCCTGAGTTCGATCCCCGGTACCACCAAAAAAAAAAAAAAAAGCGTTCTGATTTCTTGAAAGAGTAAATAACTAAAAGGCTTTTGAAAAAGGCATTTTATCTCATTTACTCAAAGCTTCCAGTAACGTGCCTGGTGCTGAGCTTCGTTAACGCTGCCCTAATCCTCCCAAGGTCTGGGGGGTAGTAATTTGCAGGTGAGGACCCTCAACAAGCCCGGAGAGTCCACGGTTATGCCAGAAGTGGCCAGGGCGCTGAGTCCAGGACCCCGATCTCCAGTTTCTTGGACCCTAAAACCAAATAGTTCTGAAGTGAGCAAGCTGTCACAAAAGGCCAGGATCCTGAAATGTACAGGTTTGTGGACCAGGGAGCGCTCGATCTTTTTATTCAGATGCCAGCGCGACAGATCCTATAAAGACACGACTCCTCTAAAACCATACCTAAAAGCAAGGAAATTCACAAGGCAGATCGGGGACGCGAGACCAGGGCCTGCGACTTCGGCGATCCTGACGGCGTCCGCGGGGCCGGGCAGGTGGCGGCTCTCGGAGGCCGCCCCGGGGCCCCGGTTTCGAGATGCTTCCTCGCAATCTGCACGTCTGAGTTGCTCGGTCTCCATGTACCACTTATTTCTACCTCCATCTGTCGCGTCGCTCGCGGACGCCCCGGCTCCCCTGGGTGTCCTTCAGGACGCCTGGTCATTCGCTCCCGGGCTACCGGCGACGCTCCGGTGGCCGGAGGTTGCGCGCGTGGGGACGAGAGCGGCCGCGAGGCGCGGTGACCTCGGACCACCCCGGCCGCCCGCGGCGTGCAGGGTGCCAGCGCGCGAGGCGCTGTCCTGAGGTGACACCGGCCGCCGGCAGAAGCCGCGGGCGAGGATCCCTCCTGGTGCGCGGCCCAGTTTCCCTCCGGACGGGCTCCCCGTCCCCGCGCCGCCCCCCGCCGCGCTCCGGGTCCTCCCCGCTAGCCTCGCGTTCCGCCTGTCCGCCCGCCCGCGCTAGCGCGGTTCCTCGATTCCACAGGCGGTTCGCGCCGCGGGTGGGGGCGGGGCGGGGGCCGGGCGGCGCGGGGAGTTCCTCGCTCGCGGACCACACGCTCCGCCGGCCAATCCCGAGCCAGCCTCTCGCGGTGTCGCACGCGGGACACGTCCAAGCGTTTGTTGGCACGGTCGGCGAGGGGGAGGGGGCGGAGAGCGGGAGGGGGAGTTGAGTGACAGGCCCCGCGGGGCACGCTGGGAATTGTAGTTCTCAGCTCCCGTGGCCATAGCCATTTTGTAGTCGGGGGACTACAACTTCCAGAAGATCAAGGGGACCATTCTAAGGTGCCCCGGGAATAGGAGGCTCTCCCCGGGGCCGGGCGTCCTGGGGCACTGGTCCCCAGCTGCCCGTCTGCAGGTAAACACGAGGGCAGAGGTTGGGGGTCGCTTGTGGCGGGTGTGGGGTGAGAGGCAAGCAGGGGAAAGGGGCTGAGGTGGAGCGACGGAGCGTGCCATGCATTGAGCTAGGGAGTCTCTCTCAATTCCGCTCCTGGGCTCGGCGTGGGAGCGATCTGGGAAGGGATGTCCGAGAAGGGTCTGTGAAGGGCTCTCGGGTATCTAGTCGACAGGGCTGCCAGAGTCCTCTGGACTGGGCCAGGGGCGGTGGGCGCCGGGGTAGGCGGGCCCCCGGTGGTTGAGCTGTGGGAGTTTTCGGCTGGCGTGCGGCGGGGAATTAGCCGAGGAGCCCTAACTTGTATAAAAGCAGAGTCCATTTAAAGTTGGGCTGGATAGCCTCTTTCTCATTGGTCAGGGCGCTTGGAAAAAAGAGACTCGGCGAGCCCTCGCCGTGGTGCTCCGCCGCCGCCGCCGCCGCCGCCGCCGCCGCTGGAGTTGACTCTTCTCGCACTGCTGCTGCAGCACAAACGTGACTTCCAACATTTTTTATTTATCTTTCCCTTTTCTTTTCCAAGATGTAACTACAGATCAGACACTAAGGACCTTCACGTTTCGCTGATGTAGTTTTTGGAGGAAAAAAGGGGGGGAGTGAAGGGCGTCGGTTTTTTTCTTCTTTTTTTCTTTTTTTTTGTGTTGTATGTGTTTCGGGGGAAATTTTCCATTATGAGTGTTTTACTAAAGTGAATTTTTTTTTTTGTTTGCTTCGTTCGTCTTTGGCTCTTGTTTTTGTTTTTTTTCCTTCCCAATTTCGGATTTATTTCAAGGCGAATCTGGCTTTGGGGAAAGAGGAAGAAAAGTCGGATTACAAGATCAACCACCACCAACAACAATAAAAACCACCAGGATATTTTTTTGCAAATTTCTGACGGCTTTAAATTCATGAAGCAATTGTCCCCTTTTGCAATCAGCATTTGGATCTCAGAATGAGTAAGGAAAGACCCAAGAGGAATATCATTCAGAAGAAATACGTAAGTGCTCCTAACAACACATCCTTTGACTTGCAGTTTTAAGCAATGGCTGTGAATGTCAAGTTTATAGATAATTCTGCAGCTGAGGGGTTTTAAACACAGCGTCCGGTAAGGTTGTTTCTTTCTTTTCTGAAAGAGGGCTTTTCAGACAAAGTCGTGTCTGCCTAGTTTGGTTGAAAAAAAAGATTGGTGTAGAGATACCTCAGGTGAATAAATTGACCTCGAATGACACAACCATAATCTAGTTTTAGATGAAAGGCAAGGGATTTTGGGAGAGTTTGGGGTAGGGGGTTGGCTGCGGTAATGTAACTAAACTGCATTCTCGGGCGGATTTGGTCCCGTATTGCACTTTGCATGCAAATGAGCCTGTGTTATTATTATTAATGTTATTGGGAACATCGTGTAAGGCGTGTGTTGGAAGAAGCCCTTTAAGTTGCAATCGAGGGTCCGATGATGGCGATCTTCTTGCACTGGTACATCAAATTTTATGTATGTGGTCGTTTGGGCTTATCTGGTTTGCTACATAAACCAGTTAGGAATCATGTTACAGCGAATGGATTTGTTGGGATTGACTTTAATAATGAGGCTGGTTTTGTTTAATTCATGGTTTGCAGTTTTTGTAGAAAAAGGCACACAGTATGGCTAATGTTTCTAACTATGTATGTGAATGCATGTGTAAGTGACTACAAATAATTTAACTGGGCTTCTGAAATTAGGTGATTATTCCGAGATTTAAGTGGTCTGGAATAGTTATATTTGTTTTGTGCATAGTACAGCTACGTTTTGATTGGCATGATGTTTTTGTTTTGTGTGTGGTGCCTTTTTTTAAGTTAGGGGGGAGGGAGCAAAGAGGGGGACCGAGGGATTAACCATATATGCTCTCAAGTGATCGGTGATTAGCTGCATGCTTTAAAGCAAAGAACTCATTTTTCCACGCAGAAAAAGGCCAAATGAGCATACATAAGGAATAATGCAACGTTACAAGAAAGTTTTATTTAACTCGAGTCGACAAATTGGTGTTAATATTTACCCTTTCTGATCTGTGTGGAGTGTGTAATGGGAGATGACCTTCGGGGCAGTGGTTCTGTAAAAAATATATTTAATGGAAAAGCTGAATGCCCCTTCTGGAGGGCCGATCCTAATCTAGACACGTAAACTTCAACTGTGAAAGAAATGCAAGGTTAAATAATCAAGCTCAACTTACAAAGCTGTTCCATAAAGAATTTAAGAATTAAAATACATCCGCATTGCAGAGGGCTGGGCAGAATGCAATGGACTCGTTTCAACTCGGGCTGTACAAACTGCACGGGGACAACCTCGCCTGTGAGCGTGGACGCCTTCCCCCGGCACGTCCGTTTCGGATGCAGCCACAAAGCAGATGGGGTAGAACTTGGACAAGAACCGCCCCCCTCCCGTCCCGGACCTCGTTAAGTTGGAGAGCAGCGCGGGGTGGGTTTTTTTGTTGCTGGTGGCCGGCGGATCGTGTGGGGTTCCGGCGGACGGCGGCCGCGGAAGGCAGAGCATGAGTTCCCGTTGCGGGAGAGGAGCCTGGGTCCCCGGAGTACTGGAGCCGGCGGCGGCGGCGGCGGCGGCGGCGG